GCATCATAGACTGGTCGTCAAACGACTTGATGGGCGTGAGCATTCTGCAGTCAAGAATTGCGTGCTGTTCAGGCAGTGCAAGCAGTTTGGGCGATGAGACATGGCTAAGAGGGGAGTTTTCGTGCATATGCTGGGACTGGAGAACTGCATGATCTGTGACATCCGGTCTTCGAAGATTCGAAGATGTGTTGAGCCGGCTAGGTTGGGGGTGATGCCCATGAACCTGGGCCAGATATGGTCTAGCCTGCGGTTCCCAATGCTTCGCTGTCGATGCCACTTTTTTCTCTGCAGGTTTTTGGCATTCGAGGGTTGGTATCAGTCGGCTGTGCCCGGCGAACCAAAAAAAAATGAAACGTGTATGCTTTGGTGGGTGGAAAGCTAGTCAAGATTCGCTTCGTTTGATAGGAGTGGGCGGAGGAGGAGCAGATATGGGCCGCCAACCAGCACGACGAGGTCGGCCCACCACCGGCTGAAAGGCTTGACAAGACTGTCTGCAGAAGCCTCTTGATTCCGATGCTGCCTGACCCTGTCAGCAAGAAAAGCTGGATGTCCAGAAGAAGGCCAAACAGAAGGAGCGCAGCTACAAGCAGGACTGCTTTTCCAGAGAGTGTGTCAGGGAAGGCACAACCTTCCTGGGAACTGCTTGCAAGCCTGGGGGCCAACGCGAAATTGACAGACTAGGTTTCGGTACACAAGATGTTGCAGTGGTCAACTTCGAGCCCGTTCTGTTCAACTACAGGAGCTGGACAAGGAGGAAATGCAGGCGCCTTCCTCAGTTGCTTAAGGTTCGTTCTTGATAAAGCAAGAGTTCTATGGCTGTGAATCACGTTGTTCACGCTGGGGCAAGCCCAATGCAAAGGCAAGGGAGATGGGGCAGGTGGAGCGCTGCGCACCTGTGATGTTTTTGGACGTTTGCTTCAACCTGTCTGAATCATTGGTGCTTTGCAAAGCTGTGCGCTTCCATCCGTCGAGAGGCAGTGCTCCAGAAAGTTGACGAGCTCTCCGATGCTGCACAGCAGAGGGAGCGCGAGGTGGCAGTCAGGGTCAGAGTCTGCTGCATCACGCGAGATCATGCGAGTTTGCAGGCCTGCGTTCAGGCATGCCAGGGTAGGTAAAACATGGCCTGCAGAGCGCAGGACAAGCTTGTAGACGTATATGATGGACGTGTGGCAGAGCCGCAGAGCTGTTGCCAGGCAGACCTCGAGCGCTTGCAACTGGAGCAGCGAGATTCGCCGGTGCAGCAATGAGAGTTTTCGGCATCTGTGACATGAGACAGACCTGTCTACAGGGATCCAAGGCCAATACGGAGTCAGGAGCTTTGAGGGGATGTTGTCAACTTGGGAGATAGCTGTTGTGATTATCCCGAGCACACGCGCTATGCAATGCAGCCATCAGCAATGCCAGCGACTAGACGCGCGCCGGGTGGAGAAATGAGCCGGGCAAAGAGCTTCAACCATAACGTGAGGGATTGCTTTTGGAGCGGAGCGCGTGTGCCCTTTGGACCTCCAAGTTGCAGGCCGGGCTCCTGAGCATGCGCTGGGATCCCACGACGTCCAAGGAGCTGATTTGCAGATCAAAAGGGTGAGTCGAAGTCGAAGTGCTGTAGCTGCTTGCATCCTTTGTTCACATTTCGTTTGCTGCCGGTTCTCTTTTCCACAAGGCGACAGGAAGGCTAACTACGATAGCTGGTCTCGATTGAGAGGCTTTGAGAGCCTTTTGAGAGGAATTGAAATCATTTTTTCTCGAAAATCTCTTGCTGCGGGAGTGACGCTGGTATCTCACAGGGCATTCCCGCCTGCTTGAATGACTTAAAGTTGCGCGGTTGGAGCCAACAGATGCCAGAAGCTATAGTCCCAACTTACTGGGACTGCCTCCTGCTAGCTCTCGAGTTGTTCCTCAAGCCAGAGGCCGAAGCGGAGAAAGCCAGCCGCTGCAATTGAACACTAAGAACAATGGGAACATGGCACCGCTCGCAGGATCTGGAGATGGTCGGACTGGCCGATCACTTGGACTCAGCAGAGATGCTCATCCAAGCGCACCTGGACTATCGGCAGGCCGTCGTTGAACAGATCTAGCGCGGTGTATGTCGTTGTTTGGAGTTCTCGATGGGGTCCTAAGTAGCAGTGGAGTTGGACATGAAGACACGAATCAGGCATGATGTACTTCTTGAGAAAACTACTGTACCAAGTACGAGCTCCCAGACTCCAGTCGTGAAGCGATTAGCAACAAGATCAAACCACAAAGCATCTGCAGGTATACAACGAGATGCGTGAGGCAGGGAGAACCTGGCTCATGTCAATCTGTGTTGTGTTGAAGCGTCCGGTTGGACATGGCTCTGAGGCTTTTTGAAGGAAGGCGTTGAGTGAAGATTCCCAGGGATCCTCCCCTTCATGGAGCTATCAAGACGGGCAACCCAACAAATCCTCAGAATGCGGCCCAGGGAAGCATGTCGGCCGGATGCTACCGCGACGTTAAATGCTTGTTGAGCTGTGTCAAATCATATCTTGACTTGGAGCAAGCCTCCGTTGCACGATCGCAGCACAGTAGGTCGAATGCCGGAGTCAAGCAGTTCAGCAACTTCCACCAATAGCCCGTCTGCTTGCGCAATCCTGCACCGCATCCTTCCGTGGCAGGAGCAAGGTGCGCTAACCCAATCCTTTCAGGCGGGAAGTCGGGGTTGAGGTCGTTGCAGTTCCTTAGGGTCCCGGCCGACCCGTGCAGCAAAAAAGAAATTGGTGCCGTATATACATGCGGGCATGAAGAGGTTGTGTTCCTGGCTCTGCTGCAGGCGCTCGATTCTGAGATGAATGCCAGAAGGAACAGGAGCAGAGGGCCCCCTTCACGACAGACGCGGGCAAGGACACCGCCACCTACAGCCAGAATGCTCGCCATGGGCCGTGTGCATAAGCCATTTCGGCGTGAAGAGGAGATGCGAGGAAAAGGAAAAGGCAAGATGCTGTCACAGCCGCCAGGCGTGCCAGGCATCGCCCTCCCAGCGACGAGGAAAGGTCAGAGTATGAAGGGCTTCTCGAAAGGCTCCAAGTCAAGGTCGCCAAACCCCTCCGAGTCCGAGGAGTCTCAGGACGTTGACGATGACGGCGACGACGATGACGATGACGAGGTGCTTTCTGACAGATCTCCGGAAAATCTGCGGAATGTATCCTCACGGGCAATGGATGACCACGAACCAGAGGGTGGCCAGGGCGACGATGGTGTGGTCCCAGACTTCATTTTTGCCAGATAGCCGTAGCCGGCGTGGTGTTCAAAATAGGTAAACGGGTAGACAAGAACGGGTGCAGACAGTAATCACGGACCGCCACCACGCCGGCATTCCCACCGCGGTCTTGCAAAAAGTGCAGAGCTACGCATAGCGGTGCTTCGTGCTCGTCTGAATAGGAAGCGAATAACTCCTCGTACAACATCTCCTGACATGGCAGAGCGTATGTTGCCCGGAACAAAGCAGTGAGTGGAAGGCCTCTGCCTCCAACGCCTCCCTCACCTCAGCATGGTCTACATACCTGATGAAGTCATTGGTGAACTGGGCATAGTCATAGTTGTGTGCGCTTGCGGACATTTATGCCTGCCGGCATCTGTACTCAAGTTGTTCTGTGACGGATCAGGGCAGCACGAAGTAGCATTCAAAGCACATTTCGCCTCGTCAGCACAAGGCCTAGCTGCCCGTCACATGTAACGATACCGGTTTTACTACACAATCCGAAGCATTATTGTATATTAAGCCCCACCTGTTCACCTTACCACAGCCGGCAAGGAGCAAGTCGCAGTTGCTGGTTCGCCCAGTGCCCACAGAAACGTAGGCTTGCACACTCATATCAGCGAAGCTGAGCCCCGAAGCCAACCCAGCCACTTCACTCCGTGTGTCCGGATGCCCCGATCTAGTGGGAGTGCACGCCATGGTCTGCGACAAGCAACTCTTGGAAATGCTTGCCAGCGGAGCATGTTTGACGAGACAAGTTCTGGAGGCCTCCAAAAAGAGATTACATTCTCCGGTTAGCAGCCCATGCATCCGCTGCGAGCCGGATAGCACGTTCATCGTCCCCAGCTCGTTGTTTGTTCTTCTGCGCGGACGCAATACCCAGAGACCCACTGCATAATGACTCGGTTGCAAAGCGGGCAGATGTTCCAGAGTCCAGCACAACTCTGAGTCGATGCACTACAGCAGTTCTAGTTCTACCTTCAGTTCTGCCACTCATGTCTTCTTGTATTTATGCAAGCAGCATCTGTGCAGCGTGCACTACTGCTGAGCTTACTGTCCCCACTGTGCTCGCCCAAATCTCGAAGAGGCACGTGGCAGCCCACCTGCCGGCAGCGACGAAGACGAGGAAATGAGCCTTACAAATCACCCTTGCGCATAGAAGAAAACCGCGACATGCTACTCGGGAAGTGGATGTCCTTGTCTTGCACGATCAGCTTGACGACGGTTCAAAGCACGTCGGCATTGTCTTGTGAGAAATGCCGCGAGGAAGACCTCAGCGATGAAGCAGGAGCAGATGATGCAGCCGCAGGCCTTGTGCTGTCAAAAACTCTCAAAACATGTCGTTGGCCGCTGCAACTGGAAGGGCAAGACCCCGACACGACGACAGACAGTGACAGAGTATGTGCGAATCCGGACCGTCGAGGCATGTTTGCTGAAGCTCTGCCTTTTTGGCCAGAGCCACAGCAGTCACCATCAGCGTCGTCCAGGTCTCAGACATCCCGTTGTGTTTGCATGGGCTGGTGCAGGGACCTCTGCAATGTTGCTCCTGTCGGTGCATTTCTGCTTACCATAGCCGCAAGCTTGAGCCCCCGGTGCAGCCCCTAAAACTTAGCATTTAGCATTGATTCAGCATGGCCTGGCTACACTCGCAGCAGCGACACCGCCCGGAGTATCCAAACCTGAGACCTGAGTCTCCATGATGTGCCCAGCCCATCCCGTGCCAGACCTCGCAGGGCAAAACCAGACGAATCGCTCAGTTTTCTCCAGCACAGCTCTTCGTGCAGCAATGGCTCTCATCGCCTCCGTGGCTAAAGTGCTTTGCCTTCATGTGGTGTTGATCGTGGGCGTGCTGGCGTATGAACTCGGTATCCTGTTTCACTCATTCAGCAGGCTCGGACCGTTTCTTTGCGTTCGGTGCTCCAATTCTGTAATGTCACTACGGCATGTTGAATCGAAATGCATTGCTTGACACTCCTGACGCGCAGATCGGTGGGATTCGGTGTCGGTGTGTGTGTGTGTGTGTGTGTGTCTGTGTGTGTGGAAGCTCTGATCTTTTGCTAAGCGTCCTTGGATTCCAATCCGCAGTTCAACCTTTAAACCGCAGGGGGGAAGGCAGCGAGCATTTCTAGATTGCTCTGCCTAACAAAGACCGTCCAGATTTGCTGTGACATGAAGAAGGGACGCCTTCTTCACGTACCTGCAAAAGGCCGCTCAAAGTACCCTGAAAGCTGCTGGTGCTGCACTGGCCTAGCTTTGACCTCGCGCATCCTGTCAGGTTGCAGTACTGAGGTAATATCAAGTCAAGATGGTTTACCAAGGTCTAAGAAGCAAAAGACCGAATGGATTGAGCGGATGGTGCCATTTCTCCGTGTGTGTGTGTGAGGCCGCCCATGTTCATACGGGAATGTTTAAAAGAAGCAGGGGGGCAGAGTTGGCTGGTAGAGCTCTGCCCACGAACTTCTTTACTGGGACTGATCATCTCAGCGTACTCACAATGCATAAAGCGTCTGCACATTGGTTCTGAGTTGGCATCGGTTGGAACTGTTGGCATGACTCAGTATGGCATCTGAGTTGGCATCGTAAGCCGTTCAGTCGTCGTTTTTGCAAACTGTGTGTCTGTCTCTGTGTGTGTGTGTGTCTCTGTGTGTGGGTGCGTATGCCTACGTAGGTTCTGCGAGTATTGGTGAGCTAGACTAGAGTGGCTTTGTGGTCCCGAGGTACTTGTGACACTGATGTAGGCACATTTCGTTTACAAAAAATGTTGGCTTCATGGTTTGAGCACAAGTTCAGGGACAGGCTTAAGAAGCGCTGCATTGCTTTTAGAGACTGCTTCGATCCGATACGAGCTCTGTGCCAGATACAAGCCAGCGTTGCAAGATCCGAGCCAGACGATGCGCGCGGCACAGTTTGCCAAGCCGGGGCCACCAGCAGTGATTCAGCTGGCTCAGATCCCACGACCGATGTGCTGTGAAACGACACAGGTTCTTATCAAAGTGGGAACCGGCAGTTTAAATCCCGTGGACTTTAAGCAGAGAAGAAACCCGATGCTGGAGTACATGAGGCCTTTACCGGCCGTTTCGGGCTTCGACTTTTCAGGCAAAGTCGAGCAGATCGGAGCGGGAGTTCTTGGATTCAGACCTGGAGACGCTGTGTACGGCATGCTGCCGTTGCAGGGCCAGGGTTGGGGCGCTTTCCAGGAGTACGTGGTTACGAATTACACAATCATCGCGCATGTTCCCTCGAAAATCTCGCCAAATGAAGCAGCAGGACTGCCACTTGTCGGGCTCACCGTCGTACAGGCTCTGGCTCCCGTCCTCCGGACTTGGCAGCGAAACGGCGAGTCGAGCAAAGGCAAGAAGATCCTGATCCATGCTGGTGCCGGCGGGGTGGGCTCCTTCGCAATACAGTACTGCAAGAATGTGTCCCTCGACGTGCAAACGGAAATCCACGGTAGACACCTAGAGTCCTAGAGCTCCCAAAATGGAAGGATGTACTCAAAGCACAGGTTGGGCATGCACGTGGCCACCACCGCGAGTGCCGCGAAGGAGGAGTTGGTCAAGAGTTGCTGAACTGCATCAGACTTAGAATGCAAGAATCGTGATGGTTAGCCAAGCTAAGTGTCAGGGGCCTTAAAAAGCACATAAGCATAAGCATTTTATAGGGATATCCCTACCTTAATGGGCTTCATTATAAGGGGGTTTATATGGGATATCCCTATCCTATTTTTTTGCTTATGTGCTTGTTTGGGGCCCTAAAGTGGTAGCTTGCTTCAGCCAAGGTCTTGGCGCTGACCAAGTCATCAACTACAGGACGACCAAGTTCGAAGATGTGCTGACAGCCTTCGACGCTGTCCTCGATCCAGTGACACAGGTGCTACCGTCATCTCAGCACTACCGACTTCCGACTGGGGATCCTGCTTCAGAGGGCTGCGTTATGAGCACTAGTGGTCCCTCTTCCACATGCCTTCGTGGATTCGGACGCCACCCCCCCGGCCCGAACTTTGCCCATGACTTGCAATGAAAAAGCTGTAAATCGGCCATATAGGGGGGGGTGCCCGAAGCCCGCAGCTGCTTGAGGAGTACGAAGCTCGCACGCTGTCTTCGCAAGTCCTGAAGCCAGGCCTCAGGGAGCCCAGCGTAGTCCTGACTTCGTCCTGGCCTCGTCGTGTTCCAAATTCGCGGAGGTCTGGGGCACTACGTGAACATCTTGAGCAGCGACTGGGAGCCAAATGATGGTGAGCTGGGCCCGCTGATGATCCTGCGACCGCTTCTCAAGACTTCCCCCGGGGGGGGCTTAGTAGTGTGAGCTGCAGCCTTCAACCTTCTAGGCAGGAAGCCTTTGGGTTTTATCTGCGAATGGGCAGGAAGTGGGGCAACAGTTTGCTGGCAGAATACCTGGGACGGAGACTCAGCCTTGTTGCAGTCTGCACGAAAAGAGGTTGGCGCAGCAAGAGCTGCCAGAATCGATGCCATGCAGGTCTGGGCGTCTATTATCATTGCGATCCGGTCAGCCCTGATGCTTCTGGCTTGCGGAGCATTGCCAGCTGGGTCGATGCAGGCCTGCCGAAAGCACTGCGGTGATGTCCTATATGTGTCTTCGCAATCCCGGCCCGGCCCTGCCGAGGCAGCATCAAGCCTGTCGTGGCTCCTTGGATGCAGATAGACCAAAGCTACAGAAATCCCATGCAGCCTCTAACTGAACTTTGGCGATTCACGTCTGTTCTTTGGAGTCTTGGGTTCTAATAACAGTGATCTTTGTGATGCACCTCAGAAAATCCGTGGTACGTTGGGGCCCGGGAGGGGAGCCCGACCGAAAGCGCCGATTTGAGGAGAGGGGGGCGCATCCCGGATGCGTGATCGGGGTATAAGTTCAACCGGAGCTGGCCCAGAACGCATCCGTGCACACTTAGGCGCTGGAGTGAGCGGCTCCAAGAGCAAAGTGTGCAAAAGTGCACTACATTACTAGGAGTATTCGATTCAAGAGTACTAAAGCGAACAGCTCCGGCAGGTCCTTGATTAGAGTCAGTTTCAAGGATCGTGCGGCATACGCGGCCCAATATGTGGATGTGTTTGTCGCATGTGGGATGTGGCATCCGAGTTTGCCAGGATCGTTCCTTCCCACTTGAGGAGGTTGCGCAGGCCCACGAGTACTTGGAGAAGGGACGAGCGTCTGGCAAGGTGCTGATCGACATAAGGAAGACAGACTGAGAAGATGGGGGCTTTTAGGTTCTGTCTTGCAGTGGTCTCTGATAGCTTGGCACATTGTGCGACAGCAAAACAATCCGTTGCCTCAGCTGTCAGTCATTGGGTCAGCAGATGCGTGGTGTTGGCTTGACTGACTTGTTGATCATCTTTGGCACAAATATAGCGGCGAAAGCTTCAAGCCAGCAGATAGCAGCGTACGCTGCACGCCCCGTGACAGATCTCGGAAGAAGTGGTCTGCCTGCCCAGGCCCACGCGATCACCGTCCCCGGACTCGCGCTCCGTCGCTTCGTCCCAGCCTTGGCTTTCGGTTTTTTTGACCAAGATGTCGGCTCTCGACCTTGTAAGGCGATCTTCGCCGCCTCCCGGCTCGCCGAGCTGCGCCCTCGGCTTCGAGACCTCAGAGATGCCCGCGGCGCCGGACGGCTCCTCGACTCAGGCTCCAACTCACCCCGGCGGTCCTGCAGCGTGTACTGCCCCGAGTAAGCCGGCCCGTCCGCCATCTTCCACTCCGCTTCCACTCGGTCAGCTTAGGACACCGGCGGAAGTTTCCACTGTCAGGCCTGGACTCGAACTTACGAGCTTTGCTGGCCTTGCGCCATGAAGAAAGATTGAGTCACAACATGTCTTAACATCCACCGCTCAAGGCCTGAAGCTAGCTTGTCGTGGCTTGCAAATGGGTTCAATCATGAAGGTCTTGCTGGTTCTCCTTACCTAGAGCATTAAGACACTAAGACTACCAAGCAAGAAGCCACAGGTCTTTGTGCGTTAAGGTACTGATTTCTTGACATCTGGGCTGCTGTGAAATCTTGCGGAAGGGCATGGAGGTTACAGGAAGGCTATGCCGCTATGCCTGCAATGTTTACGATTAGCACGAGGCCCCGGAAAAAAGGCGGCCACGTCCAGTTCAACGCTTCACACAGCGACTATGAGGCCGGCAAAACCTGGTCCTTGCTTGGGAGGGTTCGATTCAGCTTTGTCTTTGCTCAGCCAGGTTGTTGCCCAAGCCGCTGAGGAGCGAGGATGGCGCGTCGTGAAGTGCGAAGAAAAGGTGGGTCGCTCTGAGATGCTGGCTAGAGGTGCAAGCAATCCCAATGTTCTTTTTTTCCAACGATGCTGCTGTCAGGCTGCGATGCTACGGCCCAAGTTTTGCATCTTCCCAGCACCATCCTGGCTTTCTCTCCGTTCACTCGGAGGTGCAACATTCACTGGATCGACGACGCAAACATTGGAGACTGGATGAGGAAGGCGAGGACGAGCGAGAATGAGACTGCGAAACTTTGACGAACGTGATATCGCCCCTTGCAGGTAGAGCCCTGGATGAGAATAAACCATTTTCCAGGCAGAGTATATAGCGTTAGCAGCGGGGCGCTGGTGACGGCCTGATGCATCATCGAAACTGGCTTGCCCTCAGAGGAATGAATAATGCGCTGGCGCGAAAGACTCGCCTGGCGAGGACCTTTCCAAGAATCTTCCTTTGCCTCCGAGAGAGTTCGAAGTTTGGTGGTAGGGAACATCGTTTCTGATTGTCTGGCAGGAACATGACGCGAATGCAAAGGCTGTTTCCGGCAGCCTATCGTTTTGTGCCTCCCACCTGGGCCACGTGCCGAGACATGCTCAAGCCCGCCCTGACTGGCACACCATGGGTCTGACACCAGGTCATTCCAGATGACCTGACAGACCTTGAGAAGAGATTTGGCAACAGTCAAGAATCCAAGGCCTTCTGCTTACACCCCACGTATCCCACGAAAACACGTCTGAGTCGCCCTAAAAGGTCTTCTACATTGTCAAGCCAGATCATCTATGCCAGGCACAACCATCGTACAGCCTAATGAAGCATTGGTTGTGGAACGTCAGTCACTGGGGTTCAGGGCCGGGGCATCTTCCTAACCACAGAGCTCGATCGCCACAAACTCAGAAGATTCCGCAGCTACATGATCTTGGGGCCGAAAGTTTCTCTCGAGACCAAAACGAGACGCGAACAGCATCGGTTTTGATGGGTATTTGCAATGAGGTCTGCGGCAGGCAGCAGAAGAGAGCCGCAAGAAGAACGAGGCCGGTCAGAGCGCAACCCGCGATGCGCTTGTCATTGCGTCAGCACAGCGCGGCTTGGGGAAGTGAGAGGCCACCGTCGTCCAGAGATACCTCTCGAGGCCCCCGTTCACTTTCTCTAGTTTGATCCGGCAGGGATGCCAGAATGCGAGACAGTTCTCTGGCAAACGAAGCAGTTGCTCGCACCCTGCTGTAAGGCTTGGTGTTGTGGAAAAGGAACACGAGCAATGCCCTCTCTGTCTCTCTGTGCTGAGGCCGATGCTGATAGAAGGCCTCAAGTTTGACTTGCGCTTATACTTCCTCGTGTCTGCCAAGAAGGCGGGAGTGTCACGTTGCAGAGGACGACGCCGCACCAGCTGTTACTGGTAGTACGTGACGACGTTCGTCAGTATATAGTATAGCGCATCGTGCCAACAGACGAAAGGAAACTACACAACACCTCACATAATTGCCAACTTATTACACGAGCAGCTCGAAGGCCAGTGGTGAAGCTGGGCTCGACATGCGCTGCTTTCTTTTCCGTGACGGACTGGCAACCCAGCTGCAGAGACTTGTCCAAGTTGCAGACCGGAGGACCACCTCAACAAATTAGCCTGGCATTGCACATCTGCAGGTACGGTTGTGCACAACGCCGTACCAGCCTCCCACTGCAGAGACCATGCTTCCTGCCGGAAATTCAGCATCTTGTGCAACATCAGGCAGTGCCCTTCCAATCCAAAGTTCTAGGATCGTGCAAGCACACTCTGCTCTCTGACATGTTGAGGAACGAGAAGTGCATGCATCTCACTAACTATGCAGCAGGCCACTCAGACCCCTGAATCTGCAGACTTACACGCGAGCAGCATGAATGCTTCGCCTGCCGCCTGCGTTGGTGGGCTGCAAGGTCAACAAAAATAGTTCGAATTTTCAGCAGAACGATGGGGAGGACGACGGAGCTGGGAGCAAGCGCTCTTTGCGGTCTCGGACCTGGCATGACTGAATAACGCCACCCGACGCTGAGTGCACATGATGCAATGCGAGTACGTTTCGGCACTTCTAGGTGGTTCATGTCCTACATCGGTGAGACCTACGGCGAGAAGGACTCATGGTTTGCATCAGTGTATCCTGATTCAGAGGTGTGGAACTCTGCCTGCTGAGGAGCGCCGGAAGCTTTGGCTGAAGCTGATGGGTGCGGCAGCCTCCGCCTGCATCCGCCAGCTCTGCTTGCTCTGCTTCCGCTTCTTTCTTCTTTGCCTCTTCCGTCTGCATTTTGTAGCTGCGTGGCCTCACTTGTCACTTTGCGACATTCGGGACACAGCACACTCCCGTGGCATTTCTTGTGCCCAAGGCTTGGTCCCAGGTCTTATAAAGTCTTTTGCAGGAAAGACGGAAAGACAGCACGGGCACACGGACACGCGAGTACGAGTGAAGCAACTCTAGCTGCCTTGACTGCCAACGTCTTGGTGATTTGATGTAGGGTCTTGACATACCGGGGTTGCTGTGTTAGCGATGTACCTAAAGGAACGGCGCATAGGAAGACCACGCAGTAAAGCCAGCCTTGTGATAAAGCCCCCTTTGCCGGCCACGAGTTGCCATCAAAGCGAGGCGGAGCAAGAGGCTGAAGCACAATTCGAACACGGCTTGTGTGGCTTTTGGCGAGGCCAAAATTCCAGAGCGGTCCTTCCGAGAATCCACCAAGTGATCTCAGGCAACATCTCGAATAATGCGGGTGATTGACTTGCGTTGACGAAGTGGGCTTGGGTTTTTTTGTAGACTCTGTCCAGGAAGGGCTGCTTTTGGCGATATCCATGGCTGGAGATCATTTGAAGGCGTGGTCTGGGAGCAAGACGGCGTTAGTCGAGCAGAGAGAGAGAGAGAGAGAGAGAGAGAGAGAGAGAGAGAGAGAGAGAGAGAGAGAGAGAGAGAGAGAGAGAGAGAGAGAGAGAGAGAGAGAGAGAGAGAGAGAGAGAGAGAGAGAGAGAGAGAGAGAGAGAGAGAGAGAGAGAGAGAGACGGACAGGGACAGAGACAGAGAGCGAGAGAGAGGGCGAGCGGAAAGAGAAAATGCGCGTTCCGAAGCTGACACCACACAGGTGCAGGCAGTTGTTGCGACAGAAGCATGCGGCGATACTCGAGAGTCTGAGGCGCATCAACGCAATCGCATACATGGATTGTCTGGCAAGGCGCATGTATGATGTACAGACTGAGCACCGGTGCCTGAGCTGAGGCTGGTGCTGACCAAACGAAGCTTCATGCAGAGCCCTCAGATCTGCCATGTTTACTGTTCGTGCCCCGGCTTTCCGTCGATGCAAGGAATCTCTTCTAGTTGATGCCACTCACGACGGGAAGAGGACCAGTATTCGACGGGGCATCTTCTGGTTCTCAGTTCTCAGTGCAGGCCAACGAGGACCCAGGCCACCTGCGCACGGTGTAGGACACAGCAAAAGCATCACTCGCATTTATCTGGCCTCCCCACACTGAGTCGGCGCTCCAGGCAGCGCTCACTGGCACATGTTTTGACGTGTGAGCGGAGCTGCCACAGCTGCCGCACGACAGGTCGCACGTGTCAGTGGTGTCTTCCGTCCCCTCCGTGCCCGGCGGCCCAGGGCGGCCCACGGTTTCTTTCTCGGCTCCGACTTCGGCTCTTCGGCTCTTGTCGGTTCAGGCTGGCGCCCATGCCGCCCGTCCGAAGTTTAAACTCGGTTCCCGAAACGCAAGGCCTGGCCTGTCTGTCCAATTGGGGCGAAGCTTGCGCTGATATGCGCTGATGCTTGTGCTTGAGGGCTTTTGGAGAATCATTACGTCACGACCAAGGAGCTGGGTTCCTTGCTCAGCCTTGCTCACCTGCGTTGGACAGAAGCGTTTCTACAAGCCAGTGGGCATCTCACTCAGACTCAGGTAAGGGCTCTTACGGAGTCGTCTACTGTGTCCGTCACAGGCCGATGGGGATTCAGAGTTTGGGAGCCCTCTTGGCCACACACATGCCAGGTTTCCAGTTGCTGGCAACATGTTGGCTGTGCATTTGCGAAGAATTTCATGCAAGTGGCAGGAGGACAGGCCTGCTGAGGGCCCTGAAGTCGATTCCTTTCGACAAGCTCGAGGACACGCCGTTACGCCTCACTCTTTTAAGATGCAAGTGCTTGATTGTGGAACCGAGGATCCAAGTCACTTTAAAGATGAGCTGGAGATCGCCAGGCAATTGAATCATCCGTGCGCTACCGGCCTCGCACACATCACAGCATGCAACTGGTCGAGGATGAGTCGAGTCAGACCGTATCCAGTTGAACTGCTGCAGGGTCGAAAAGAATAATCATAGACTACTACTGTAGGAGTATAACCAAATGAACATTTGGCGAGTCTTAGAATCCTGCAGCTCCTCTCTTGGAAATGCAACAGATGGCAGCTGCTCCGTGCAACCTGCACCAGGTACATCGTAAAGTTGTACGAGGTGTTCCAGACAGGTGAACGTGTGCATTTGGTCATTGCCTCAGAGTCCGAGGGCTTTTAACATGTGTCATAGCTTTGCGAATCATGTGAATCATGTGCACCCACGAAGTTGCTGCGTGCCCCCAACATCTTTTACTGAAATTGAGCTGGCAGACGTCCTGCTCCCCTTCGAATCACACTGGCGATCTCTTCTCTAGAGCTCAAGTCGTAGTCTGTGCGAATGCAACGCGCAGGTCGCGGACACCTATTGCTAGAAGGTGTCATCGAACGGTGCATGCTCCGCACTCCATTCTCATTCGATGTGGCAAGAGCTAGAAGACAAGAATGCGTTTCAGTGGTGGAGCCTAGCGGCCCAATATGATTAACATGCGCAATTTGAGCGCCGAGTGTGCCCGGCTCTGAACCCAGATGCACTGCTCTTGGAAGCCATTTCTGATGCGCCGAGCGTGGCAGAGAAAATCGGAAGGACACGTATTATCACACAAAGGCTGCCTGTGCAGTCAGAGGTACTTACTTTGCAGCTGGTCGAGTTGGAGCAGCCGAATTGCCATCGATTGAGTGCTCAAGCTGCATTGAAAGCGGCTAAGCAGATGCAAGCGTACGAGGTCATGGAGCTTTGCGGAGGCGGCTCTTTGGCAGAGATGCTGGCCGAGCCCTGAGGGGACACTGCAGCTGAGTTTAATGCATGCATTTGAGTGCAAGATCACCGGCCACGACAAGTGGTTCCATGAGTTTCCAGAACCGACGCATGGTCCATGATGGACCGATAGCAGCACTGTTCCACCTGCGCATCGCTGCGACTGTAGGCGTCTGCGAATGACGCTGCCGTGAAGGCCGGGTCGTGCACTCTGTCTATGAGTCATGAGTCTGGCCTGGGCCTGCCTGCGAGGCTGCTGGTCGAGGTTCCCGTGCAAAGCTGCCAGTCGAGAAGACAGGCCGGGCCGCCGGGCCGCCGGGCCGCGCAGTTGCAGTCGGCAAGGCTTCCCTGAAGCCCTGCGTTCCGGCCAGTGCTAGTGCGAGTTGGAAAGTCGGAGTGCCGCCGGACATGCCTTCGTCGCAGGCAGATTCATGTTCCGGACTGAGTCATTCCAGTGGATCCGAAGACCCTGAAAGTTTCGTTGGTGTGGTTCGGGATGTCAAAAAATTGATAATTAGCTTCGTTCTTGCAATCTCCTGTGTGAGAGTTAGTCAGAGTGAGAAGATGGCGGGACAGGTTTCGGTTTATAGCTGCCAAGGTGGCAAATGCTGGCCGGCATAGCCTACTTGCATCACCACCGGATCATCCACAGGGACATCAAGCCAGAGAACTACCTGGTCAGTGCCCAAGCCCTCTGACCTTTTTGAGGCAACACAATAAACAACGTGAAAGGTGGCAGCATGCTGACCGGTTGCATACACCACTTGGCAGAATTCGATTTGGTGAGCACGTTGTACGGCACGTCGACTTGAAATATATTTCGTCCCAGCATTCGCAGGTGCAGCACAGGGGCGAGCACACAACCCTGAAGCTCGCAGACTTTGGCCTCGCTTGCTCCTTCAAGAAAGGCCCGCATAGTTGCAAATCCGACCGAGACAATTTTGCGAATGCACTCTTGCAGGAATCTGATGCGAGGAGGGGCTTGAACGGGCGCTGGGTGATACAACGGAACCGATCCAACGTGATTAGCAAGGGCGAAATGTTTTGAAGTCGAAAGGTGGTAGCGACTAGAGTCCGGAGTCCTTGACAACGTTTCAGAAGCCTAAGTCCGCCGTTGGATCTGGAAGAGGCTGAAGAGAGCTAAAGCTAAGGTAAGCTGTTTTTGCTCGGAAGGTCGACCGCTCAAGGACATCCTCGGCACTCCTTGCTACGTCGCTCCCGAGGCTTGGGGTAGAGGCAGAGTGCTTTGTTTGGTGGCCATGCATATCGGGTTTCAGTCCAAGGGTTGCCGTCGCACCCTGACAGCTGCAGTTGCAAAATGTTGCAAAAACACGAAGGTTGTTGCAGTTCTGGCATGGCACGCCGCTGTCATGCCTCCAGAGGTTCTCAACGCCCGATACGACGAGCGCTGTGACGTGTGGAGCGTGGGAGTGGTATCCTTTGTGCTCTGCACTGGTCACGGCCACAGCCTCCGCAGCCATCCGCAGCCGCTCGTCTAGCGTCCTGCTCTGATGGGCCTTGAAGTGAGGTCATCACCCCTTTGCCTACGGCAAAGGTGACAAAGCCAAGGCGCACATGCTCAGAATGCGCTTGCAGGCATATAAGTCTGCCATCCCAATCATTGCTCGAGTGCGGGTGGGGCCATGGGACCACCCTGTTCGACGAGACGATTCGGGCCGATGTTTGGCGATGGGCTTGGGTCTGCTGAGACTCCTGGTGTCGTCTAATCAAAATACGGTGGTAGTGCTCGTATCTGCATTTCCATGGCGTGTTGTTCTGAGTTTTTGAGCCAGGTGGTCTTGGAAAGAATCAGATCCAACGACATGGATCCTGCAGCCAGGGTCCCAAACACTGCCGCTTCAGCGTTTCCTCGAAGGCTGTGCAAGCATGAGCAAGTCTGCATTGCAAACTGCGGCTGTTGACCGAAGACTGACATAAACAGCTGGCTCTTCGCGAACGAAATCTAAGCAGCAGAGGCAGAGTGCTTCCGTTTTTCTGCGATCTTCCACGAAGATTCAAGATTCATTCCAAGGAAGCTCATTGGGACGAATCTCGCAAAGAGGCAGGTGATGCTAGAAATTCTCCAGAAGCCCGCCTGCAGCAGCTTGACAGGCCAAAGAGCTGGTGTTCCAGATGTTGACGCGGGACCCGGGCAGTGGGCAGAGTCGGCTGAGTCCTTGACGCAAGTGTTGAAGTGCTGTGGTGCGGCTTTGGATTTCTGACTGACTCGGAAGTGTCGGGGAATGTTTGACCTGTTTCCAGGACCCGGAGCAGCGACCAAGCGCCAAGAAGCTCTTAGCAAAGAGCTTGTGGCTGCAGCAGTTTGATGTACCTGAAAGGCACAGCCTCTGCAGTTTCATAAATGCCTCCTATTGGGCGAACCCAAGTCATTTGCACGTGGAACTGCAGCATTGCATTCACAGCTGTGCGGTCGCCTTCGTGCAGGCCTGAGGAACCTGCAGCCAACAAGGGCTGCTGCGTAGTGAGTTAGTCGATTTCTGGGGCGCAGCAAGCAGATGACGGCTTCAAAGGAAAGGCACCTGCAATCATAAGTCAGGTTTAGTCGATCTGGCTTTTGCATTCGGACGCGGCTGTCTGTCTAGCAGGCTGGCACCCCAACATGTTGCGAAGCGGCATGGGACGGGATTAGAAAGCCACAATGAACCGAGGGCCAGAATGAATGCTGGCGTAGCTGTACAGTTCTGCATGCACCTGCAGAGGGGTTACATCTGAGTCCTTTGCATTAGGCGGTTTTGAAGGTTGGCTTGCGCAACTGTGCTCGACAAAGCTAGCCACTTCTCGTCGCCGTTTGCGTTGTGCAAGCCACCACGTTTGACTCCGTCAAGCGATTCCATCTGCGTGAGTGACAGATTCTATCCGGATAGCAACCTGGGCTAGCCTTTGAGTCTGCGAGTCGATCAAAACTATTTCAGTTTCGGGCAGACACCCTTTTTGACATAACTTTGGCTTTGTGGGTTTGTTATAAGTGAACATTCTATCTCCAAAACAATGCTAGCATTATACAGTGAGCGAGGGTGAGACTGCTTCTCGCGACCTTTGCGGCGCCGAGTGCCACGCACAGCGTGGATGTATAGCACAGGCTTCGTAGAGGTCTCATCTCAACACCATGGGCCCCGAAATGCGGCACAAGCTTTGAAAGCATGGCAGCACCTGACTGAGTTAAAATCACAACGGGCATGAAGCTTGCGCAGCAGTGCTCATGACAGCTCAAGAGGACAGAAACGGTCTGCACGGCTCCAGCTAGAAAGATGCAGGTTGGTAAAGGCACATGCCTGCAAGGTCATTGATGCAAGAGCTTCTGAATGCGGACCGTTCTGATGGTTTCTTCCAGAGTGAGCACAAGCACTTCAAAGAAGATAGCCTGTATGCTCACAGCGAACGATTGTGTGTTCGGAGCTGCAGAACAGAGCGAAGATCGGTGCGACAATGCCAACGAGTATCCGCTTGCTTTAGCCTTTCGTCAAGATTCTGGTCTGCACGCAGCTTTGAGTCTGAATCTTCGGAACCGCTGCGCTCAGCAAACTTAGACCTTTTACGGTCTACTCGACCGTGTGAAAGAACTGTGATTTGTGCTGATCTGTGATGTGGTCTGTTGTGCAGAATCCCCTGAAGAATTGCCAAGACAGCTCCAGGCTTGAAGCAGAGCCTTCGGTGCTTTTCCCGCGCCTCGTGAGGTGTTTGCATGAAGACAGTCCTCATGGTCAAGCCAACCCTGGAGGCATCGGGCCGGAGCAGTGACGAAGTCTCCACGACATGGCATTTGCCGAACGGGAGCAGCCATGGTCATATTGAAATGTCGATCCTCATGTAATTAGTCACTTAGGACTTAGGCTTAATGCTTAATCCGCTTGATGTGCGGGGCTTCCATCTGTGCTTCAGAGCTGGTTGCGCAGAGGGCCTCTGCTATATCAAGGCCATCTTTTTTCGATCGTGATTGCATATGTCCGCAGACATGCCTTTCTGCCGTCTAGCTGGTTTCTACAGTTTCTAGGCAAAGGCGTTCTTCCTACATGCCAGCTCACGAGACTGAGATACACCCGCAGATTGCTCTAGTGTTCGCTGCTTACCGGTGCAAGTGCGAATGGTAAGCTATGGTAGTGGTAATGTGTGTGTCACCTGTAGAAGCTCTGCGTGAATCCGTCACCCGGCAGACGGAGTACGACGGAGCGTTTCCTCGTGACTTGACCGGGGGCCAGATGGGCTGCAGGCGAGAGAACAGATTCTGAGCTGAAGAATGGTTGGCTTTTCGTTCCAATTGCAGGTGCTTCGAGCTGCTCGGCATCGACGTCATGCTTGATGCAAAGATGAAGCCTTACCTCATAGAGGTCGGTCTGGCTGCCAAAACAAAGCATACCAGCAATGCCAGTGCCATACCCGTTTCGCATAGTATTGAGATTGAGGAGGTTTGTGATGCATTGCTAATGCATTTCGGGTCTGCTCTGAGCCGTTGAAGGTAAACCACCTGCCCAGCTTCACCTGTGACTCACCCTTGGACGAGGACATCAAGAGGCCTCCATGAGCCTATTCACCCAGACTGCATCGAGATGTCTGTCTCTGACAGGCGCTTGGTGAGCCAGACCTTGGACCTTACTTGTGGATCACTGTCGGGCAAGGCGTCAGTCGACTTCGGCAGCGGAAGTGCTCTACGCCGTGCGACAGAGCCATCCGCGCGTCTCCACGTTAACGCTGCTCGACCGGGCCAGGACCGGAAGCTTTACGAGCAGCTGGTCCGGGAGAGACGCGAGGCGATATGATTTTGTTCTTCGCAGAAGGAGCCGTAGCAAGAGGGACTCAGACACAGCACGAGCACTCCGAAAGGCGAGTATCTATGCAGTTTAGACATGTTCCCTTTCGAACCTGACTCTCTTTTGCACACTTTGGCTGGAGCAAGCACTCCAACCGGCAAGTACTGTGCATGTTGCTTTGAAAATTTGGCTTCTCTTTGCTGCAGGCAGGGCAGCCCGGCAATGCCACACCTTGCAAAGCGCTCAGACTTGCCGGCTTGACGTGCTCAGCGCGTGGTTTCCTTTCGGACACGACATGACTTTCTCCTTAGGCCCAGACGCCAAGAGCGAGGCAAGGCATTGCGGCATTGCGGTCTCCTGTGTTCCGTGTCGCAAGTCCGTTTCGACGCTGATGCAAATCTGATCGCATGGCATGGTGCTGCTGTGACGTGCAGTGTGTTCCCATGCTCGGAGGACTGATTTTCTCAGGGTCAAACAGTAAAGAACGACGGTCACGGCCTGGCTCAAACTCGGATTGGTCTGAAGTTCCAACCAACAAAACCAATGACAAGTGTAGGTGTTGACACGGGTATCTGTTGCAACTTGTAGCCCTGGTTACAACTGAAGGAAGCATGTAAGCCAGCGACTGAAACCCAGCACTGTCTGCATACAGTACCATAGCAGCACCAGTAAGTTTCGTGATACATCATGCTGGGAGCAGAACCCTGAGGCAATAAGACAAAACCTGTCCGAACTGCTATTTGCCAGCACCTGTTGAAGCTCATCCGCTATCCTGCGCGCGGCAGTTCACGACTGGGCAGCGATCATGCCGAAGGTTTGGCGCTCCTTGGTTCAAGCGAGCCGCGAGATGGGTCAGCCCGTGATCAGACATTCAGAAGACGAGTCTAAGTGAATAGCGAACTTGTCGCTTGTGGCTGGTCCAAGGATGCGCACGCGATTCGGCACACTATCGGTCTCACAGCTACCCTCGAACTTCGGCGAGCAGACAAGATGGAAAGTGCAAAGAAGTGACGCAGCCTTGCAAAGCCCCGAGATGCCCCGACGAGTTTTCGAGGCCTTGCCCTGCTTCCCCTCTGCGCCCTCCTGGCGGCGATAGCTTCCTGGACTGCACGCTTTCGGATCTCACAAAGAACAGGGATCGTTGCGCTTGGGGCTCCGACGATCGAAACCGAGGCTGGGCGAGCGGATGTGTTTTGCCAGCCTCGCCAGCCTCGTGATTCAGCTCGAGGCACTCTGATGTTGACAGGTCTCTGGCATGTATGGATCACCCGGGAGGAAGCAGTCATCATACAAGGCAGTGCCTATACATAGGCCGGAAGGGGAAGTCTGGAAATCGCTTACCAAAGCAAAAGGCTTGAATGGCTTCTCTGAGCAATCAACAACTTGTCCGTTGCATGACGAATCGTTTGCCGTCGACTCCCTTACATGGCACTCCAGCCAATCTGCTGTAACCCAGGGCAGAGACAGGCAGGCGTTGTGTATTGAGGAGTGTTTTTGATTCCCCCAACCGTTTTTCTAGGTAGGAGGTGCCCTAGCGCTACTTGTCCTAGGCTTGATGCACACAAGGTTCAGAGAGGAGAGTGGCATTTCGAGGGCCTGGGAGGCAAGCAGACTCGAAGGCACCCCATCGAGACCTTCTCGATTATTCTAGATTCTAGATATATCCACACAAAAGCACCCCTGCATGAGCTGATTCAAGCAGGTAGTGATTGCCATGTGGATCAAGTGGCTGCTGTAATTCCAGTATGGGACTTGGAAACCCTGTACAACTATCAGGAGTGCACCTGGCCCGTTGCGCGGATCCTGCCGCTTGAATTGCACCAGCCTGACTGGATGGAAGAGTGGATCGAAGCCCTTTGGATGTGGAGTAGGCAGGGTGCGCTGGAGTGCGTGGAATGGATGCTGCAGTTTTTTTTCGATTCTTTGGCGCGAGCGCTGTGCAACGTGTGTGTATTCAAGTACGCGATAGCATTTGAGGAGCATCACGACATGGCGGGCTTGCACTTTGCCGATGCCAGGCCACGAGCGTCCAGCTTTGCAATCAAAGTCCAATAGTGTGAAATCGATGTCAACATGGCGGTATGGCAGCAGCATTGCAGGCAGTCTGGTGAAGTCGGCGGAAGCCCTTCCGCCAGTCAAGCAGTCCAGGCAGTCTGGAGCTGGGCGTTGTGCACAGCAGAAGCCATTCGTGTCTCTTCAGCTTGAGACCTTCAGTTCTTAAGGCACCAGGCCGCAACTACAACTTCGAAGAGTATAGGGGCGTCTATCGCAGGCTGGTGTCTCAAATGGGACAAAAATTACATACAGGAGCTTCCAGTAGAGCTAGAGGCAGGCTAAGGCTTCTAGGGCAAGCCCTGCGGCTGGCAAAGGCTGATTAGTGACGAGACCTGGCCACAAGTACTGCGCAGCTCGGCAGGGAGCTTCAACACTTTTGGTGGTGTCAGGCAAATCAGGCACAACATCATTGGTCTTGTGCATAGTGGGCTAGCTTCCAGCTCCGTGGCCAGTGGCAAATCATACATTCAACATATGCAACCAGCGGTGATCTTTGGCCCAAGAAGCTCGCTAGGACTCTGGTTTCAGACCCACAGCCACTTGATGAGAAAGCAAGGCATTGTGGTTGTCGGACCGATCGGTGACGAATTTCGTCAGACCGTAGAGGCTTGGCGCTTGGCTCACAAACTGCTCTCTTGTGAAGCCGCAGTCTAATCCTTCGTGGTGTGGCAGTCCATAGCAAAGAGACAGTGCAGACTTTCATCTTTCCGACGAAGAGAAAGTCGTGACGGTAAGCTTTTGTAAGCTTTGCTTCGAAGCCACGGCCTCCACAGGAAGCAACTCCGAAGGTGCTCGGCTGGGATCCGCTGTCAGTGATCGTGCGGCATCCCAGGAGACAGCATGGGAGATGTTGCCATTCCATTCCCAAGATCCTTTTGCGCCTGGAGTTCCGAACTGTTCCGAGTCCCGAGCTCGATAGTCTCACTTTGGAAGGAGCCGTCTTCCAGCACTTATGCATTACGTCATTACGTGGCCTTGTGTTAAATTCTTCAATCTCCCACCAGGGCGGATGTAATGCATGCGCCTACAGCTTGCATGTGCGATCCGACGTCGTCGGTCCATTGCGGTGCCTCCAGGGTTGGACTTGTCAAGCAGTAGCGTGTGCTGAGCCCCGAGTCAGTGCCTCGTTGAGGGAGAGAGAGCCTCTGAGCAGCGAATACATGTCGTCCACGCCCCACTCCCCCCAGCTGCTGCTTTCGCGGTGTTCGGTACTGGCTGAGTCACCAGGATCTTGGAGCGTGCCTTGTGATATGTCGGCCGCAAGCTTTTCTGACCAAGGTGAGTGAGAGGACGCGGTGGCAATCACTCAAGCTCGATGTACGCCCTATGGCCGCACAGTACGCCTGACGTCCGCTTCAGCCACCCGACGTCGCTACTGAAGCATTGAAACTCCTCGACCTTTCTCCAGCTGTGTCTTGCTTAGCTACAAGCAGCTCACGAGCTGCAACCTGAACGCCAGGCTTCACGAATCCAGATGACTTCTGCGCCCTGCACAGACGCTCGGCTGCCCGCTGATTCTGTTAAGCGGACATGTGTTGCAGGTTGTGTCTGTTCTGCGTTTGTTCCATGATGCCATGAACATGCCTCGCGTGCGTGCCGCGGACAGCTGCAATGCCCATCGATTTCACACGGCTGCTATGAAGTGTCAGGCTACTTGAAGACCATCGACGGTGTCAAGACTGTGCTGTGAAACAGCCCATTCAATGCTCTTGCGCATCCGATTTTCGCAGCCAGCGCGAGTTGCCCGACATGTTTCCTGAATGCCGACAGTAGCATGGACCACTTTCGATTCGCCCGATGGGCCACGTCAGCCTTTGCAGGAAGGCGGATAAAGTCGTGTAGATTGGCAACCGGCCATATTGGCCTGGAAGTTGATCACACTAGAAGCTGCGCGTGTCAGAGAGAACAGGAAGGACCTGAAGCACGTGAGGACCCTTGCATGGGGCGAGACTCCTATCTTGCTACAGACTCGCAAATTGAGACATGCATGCTGGCAGGCGGAGCCCAGTATGTTGGATCTTCCGGTGTACCAGGAGCTGGTTCTGCAATCTGCAAAGCGTGACGGCTGTTTGTCGTGAGAGAGCTGCCTGGGGAGACTGTTGTAAATCGGAGCTGCTAGCTGGACGAATCTCAGCTTTGGCTGTAGCATTCCATTAGCACCCCATCGAAGCCGCTCCCTCAGTGCCGCCCCGCCCCCAGGTGTCTGCTGAGCATGTTACCAGGCTGTTGAAAATTTGATATTTTGCTGCTTCCTCGCCTTCCAAGCATGGTCCCCTGAGGAACGGATGGCGCCCAGGACGAGCCCAGTTTCCTACGACAGGGCCCGCAAGGCCCAGCCATCCCAGCCTCAAGAGCGTGCTATGTCCTCATGCTTTCCGAGAATGCGTCTCATGCACGTGCAACTTGCAGGCTTACAGCTCCCTCCAGAAGCAGCGCTTGAAAGCTGACTGCAAGGACCCCGTTGGCAGAAGGTGCATCCTGTTCTGTCTGAGTTCTGCCAGTGTACGTACAGATTTAGTGCCCTGTGGGTGCATGCGACGTCTTGACCTTGGAGCAGCCGCCTCGCCTGCACCATCTTGGAGCTATCGTAGGGTGGGCATGTGGACGCAATTGACCAGGACTATCTGCCGGATGTCTTGAGTGGCAGACCCAAAGCTGTGAAGAAGGAGGTTCGGCCTAAGCTGTGAGTGAACACATAAAGCTTAGCCTCCAGAAAGCAGAGGCTTTGGCAGCTTCTCCAAAGGACGCTGAGGCCGTGGTGTTGGAGCGTTGCAAACTACTCTCCTTAGACTGTAGACTGTGCACCTGAACGAACTCCATGCATCATTGTGCCTCCCTGTTTATTACATCGACAGCGAGGTCATCAAACGATTGTTTCCTCAAACCTACGCCCGGGCCTCAGCGAGACATTGTCCTGCTTGGGAGAGTGCCGTTTGCTTGCGGGACAATGTTTGGACATTGCATGAGCTCACATGTCGACTAGATTTTCCCGATGATGTGCCAGCGCGAGAAGTCGTGAACGAAAGCTGAAGCATCGTGTGCATAATTCGCGTTGCTGCAACATGTGTTGCAGGATACCCCACTGGTCGAGTTCGAAACTGGAGCGGCACAGGAGCACGGAGAGGTCCAACCCCGAGTCGTTCGAGCTTTGCTCTTGCTTCTCCCTGATGCACCCTTCCCACCCCACATCATCCCGCGGCTGCTTTCGGACAACAAAGAGCTGCCAGGCACCTGTCAAAGTTGGAGTTGTGCTCTCGGGTGGCCAGGCATCGCTGAGAAGGAGGGTTGTTTTTCAAAAGAAGAGTCTGCGAAAGGGATTGGGGTTGCGTAGTTCGCATAGACATTGGCAAGGCGAAGGTTTGCAGGGCGAATCCACGTTCTACTGTAGCGTTGCACCGCTCAATTTGTCGGTTGCTTGACTGCTTGCGGCCTCCATCATTATGTTCTTTGTAACCCCGGTGAAAGTTGGGCATGAGGCACCGTAGGCCAACGCAGAACGAGGGATTCAGCAATTTGTCGCCACTTGAAGCTGGACCAGAAACCTGGCAGGCGCCAGGTGGACACAATGTGATTGCTGGCATTTTCGACGGCATCAAGTCATGGCACAAGGCGCGCTCCCGAAGTTGCAGATGGGCAAAATGCTAGCGAGCCATCAACACAAAGTCAGACTTAGCACCAAACATCGATGTATCTTGTTCCCGATAAATACCCAGCCTCGTGGGGTCCGCATTCGTCTTTGAGCTTTGAGCTTTGAGCGCGCTACTTCTAGTATGGGCAGTGAGGAGATCTGATAGACTGGGCCCATCCAATAAGAGTACGCAGTTGCAAAAGAAGGAGGCGCCGCATGGTTTGCGAGTTTGCTAAAAATATCGAGCAGCATGAACTACGGTAGTCGCTTCGGGTTGCAGGCAGGGCCACGAATTTCCAACGGGTGTACCCGGTTTCTCGCCACCCAGCACAACCTCTGGCAGCAGAGCAAAGGGTGGTGGCAATGGATCATGTCGGAGTGGCTGGGGTCGGGGCGCGGTGGTGGGGTTTCCATGCAAAGTACGTACCGGGCTTCCTGTCCGTGAAGGTGGGGTGTAACTCCTGCAAGTCTGCTGCAAAAGGTTGCCTTTTCTTTCGCGCGAAGAGAATGTTGGTCGGGAGGGAGGCTTAGAGAGCCTCATATTGCGGCATAGCAGCTGCGATCCCCTGGCCGGTGTCCTGCAGCATGCCCGTAGGCTGTCAGGATGAGCTGAAGTTGCTATTAGGTGTTGGACTTGCTGGGTTAGAGACTTTCCTGGGCACCGAGACTTAACTGGCCCTGGGGTTTTAGAAGTACTCACAGGTCCGAAGCTGTTTACACATTGGCCCTTGCTATCCTAGAGAGAGACTGGAGCGTTGTGGAACTTATTAAGGAAGCCTATTGGCCTATTGTTCCGCCACACGGTTTGGGGAATAAGCCGTCTCTGTAAAATTTGACTTGTAAGTGTGTGTGTGTGTGTTCTTCGGTGCTACACTTTGAACTTGCACGGCTGGCTGCAGGACTCTACTATGATCGGCTTTCTTGACGGACCACATGGTATCTTCACGGGCAATTTCGTGGAGATCACGGATGAGATCATGGATGGATTCCGCAATACCGGTGTGCACCTGAGCTGTACATCCGACCTGCAGCGAGCAGCAGCGAAGCTATCTTTTCGCCTTTTCCGCCACTCTCGACGGAAGCCACTCCCTGGCGCGAAGCCGCAGCCGTCGACCCGAGCCCCGAGTCCCAAACGGAAGCAAACCTCGAGCCCGAGCCCTCACCTCAGTAGCGCCAAACACTCCCAAACCCCTCAGCTGGAAACATGTTCCTTTCCGTCAATCAGAGGGAGCACCGGCCCGAAATGCGTGCAGACGGCAGTACTCAAAGCCTTGCCTTGCCACAAGCGGGCACATAGAAGTCGATGCTGACTTTGACAAACAGGCGGATTTGACATGCTTGGCAGCGGCCGCCACAAGATCGAGTCCGAGGACTGGCTGTAGCAGTGCAGGCAGAGTGCAGGTTAAAGCCAGGGCCAGAGCCATTGGTCCCATGACGTGCTTCAGAGGAGCAGTTCAAAGACTCGATGACAGCAAGGGCCCTGCCTTCTTGCAACCGCTCTCCCTTCCTTTGCTTTTTGCTGGTCTGCTGCTGTTCCTCCGCTTCGAGGTCTGCAGCGCCATCGGCCTCGATGGGTTGGTCGTGATTGGAGGGGATGAGCCTCTGCTGCAATTAGTGCTGCAGCCGGCTTGGCAACAACGCTCGGACTAAGCAGGCTCTGAAATGCAGCATGCTGTCAGGCATCGACGGGTTTCGAAGGGCCTGCCAGCGAACTTCGTTTACTATGACCAGCATGCTCTCCGTTCGTATCAGTTATTAGTCGCTTGTGTACGTGTCCCGACGGGCCTGAAGAGCTATCGCAGTGTGCTCGAAGCAGACGCTGCCTCACAGGGCACACCCAGTCTTGCGCGGCCCCGATGTTGTCCGCTCAGGATTCGAACACGAACGGTGCAGTGTTGGCTGAGTATTTCAAGGCAGCGAGCGAAAGTGTATGGTGCACGTTAGACACTTCCGTGAACTATGAACAATTGCCAGCTCGTGAGGCGAATGGTTGCAAGACGAAGGTCGTCGGTGCTCCCAAGACCATCGATGGCGACTTGAAGCCTGCCTCTCAGCCTTTGCCTCTGCCAAGCGTGCTTGCGTGCGGCAGCAAAGCAGGTGCCCACCACACCTCCCCGTCTCATTCGGCTTCGATACGGCTTGCAAGACCTACGCCACCCTGGTAGGCACATTGTCAGTCAGCTGCAGCTTCTTGCCTTTCGACCTTTATGTGCCGTTCTACCTGCGCAGGCAATGTGGCCGTGGATGCATTGAGTGCTCAGAAGTGCCCTCCTCTGAAACATATGGACATATGGACACCGGAATGGCGCAAGTCTGATGAGATCGGATCCGTGCGGATCGGGTGCAATGCAAGGGTAAGTCGTGGGTCTGGAAGTTCACGGAAGTGCCGTGCAGATGATAAGGAAGAAGGAAGGGTTGCGCACGCTCATGTGGACAGCAAACAATAGCAGACCTAAGCGACGGAAAGACGGGCTTCTGGGTGTGTGCAGGGCGAATGGTGTGCCTCCCTGCGTGCCCTTCGAATAATATGAGAGAATCAGATAGAATGAAGAAGGTGCCCGACACCGTGGATTGGAGACATGAATCACAGGTACTACCACTTGGTCCGCTTGATGGGTCGTTCTGCGTCCAACATCGCCCTGGAGGTGGTAGCTGGCTCAGCTGCCTGGTAACCGGCAAGACCCAAGCAACGGCTGCTCCGGTTGCTGCCGACTCAAGGCTTTGTTGACGCGACCAAACATGTGCCTGCTGGGAGAGGAGGCAAGGGAATTTCGGACATCATATGGGTTTTGGTCTGATGGCTTCAGCATGTTCTTGCTTGCTCCACTGCGAAATTCAGTCAAAAAAGCGTATTAGTTTCTCAGTGCTGTTCGCTTCTCGGATCTTCACGGCTTGCAGCTTCACCGCTAGCCTCTGACTTCTACCGGGGGTGGCGGCCGTGGTCGTGGTGGTGGTGGTGGTGGTGGTGGTGGTCGTAGTAGTAGTAGTAGCAGTAGTAGCAGTAGTAGCAGTAGTCACAGTAGTAAGAGTAGAAGTAGTAGTAGTAGTAGTAGTAGTAGTAGTAGTAGTAGTAGTAGTAGTAGTGGTAGTGGTAGTGGTAGTGGTAGTGGTAGTGGTAGTGGTAGTGGTAGTGGTAGTAGTGTAGTAGTGGTAGTAGTGGTAGTAGTGGTAGTAGTGGTAGTAGTGTAGTAGTGGTAGTAGTGGTAGTAGTGGTAGTAGTGGTAGTAGTGGTAGTAGTGGTAGTAGTGGTAGTAGTGGTAGTAGTGGTAGTAGTGGTAGTAGTAGTTGTTGTTGTTGTAGGGGTGGTAATAGTGGTACCAGAAGTGTAGTATAGTCTAGTAGTAACTTCCACCACCCCCACTACAGTACCAATACAACTACGACAACTACAAATTACGACGACTACTGCTACAAGTACTACTACGAGCAGCGACTGTTGCCACTACTGGTAGAGATTCTTGCACAACAGCAGCTACTGTCAGAATCAGCAGCAGTAGTCGTACCACCACCACTACCACTACAGCTGCTGCGGCCACCGCCAACATCACCACACGACCGCCGCAGGCGACAGCACAGCACCACCAGCAGCACCAGCACCACCACCAACACCACCACCGCAACCACCACCACCACCACCACCACCAGCACCACCAGCACCACCAGCACCACCACCAGCACTACCACCAGCACCACCACCAGCACCACCACCAGCACCAGCACCAGCACCATCACCAGTACCACCACAAACGCCAGCACCAGCACCGGCACCATCACTATTATCACCACCACCATTACCACCACCACCACCACCACCACCACCACCACGACCACCACCACCTTCCAGCACTGCAACAGCCACCGCTGACGCCGATCTGGCCAGGTAACTCTGCACGAAACACAAGTGTAGTACATGCGCACATAAGCTAATTTCATCACTCGTCCTTTTGCTGGTTTTAGCTTCCACCGCCGTGCAGATGAAAGCGCTCCTTAATTATGCAACTGCTCTGACGCACTTTAGCTGGCTTCGTACATTGTATCGATGCATTCAGATACCAGTGTTGTCGTCAGAATCATGATGTGTCATGCTCCGGGGGAACACCTCCACTACAACTCGGGCTTGTTGAAGTAATCCCAATCTCAAAAGCAACAGGATCAGCTATCGCCTGACGCTGGTAAACCCCAATGAATGATCTGATCGTCCCAGCGTAGTGCCACACCTTTTGGCATTCAAACTTAGCCCTAGCAGAGTTTGCAAGGTGGCCGAGGGCAAGAAGAGCCTGAAAGACATCACCATGGACATGGCAGCAGCGGCCTCAGCACGGTTCAACCAGTAGGCTGAGGCGGCTTCTGTGTGTTTCCTTCTCGCTACCGAGGACATGATTGAGGCGAGAAGCAGGGATGGCAAGGAGCCAGCGGAGTGACACGCAGTCATCGATTTGGCATCCATCAGATTTATCTCTCGTCCTCGGTCATGTCTCTGGAGTCTCAGTCTTCAGGACTACGGCGTCATCATTTTGCCAGAGGGTCTGATTGAGTTTGCATCCCAGTGTTGAGATTTGCTTATAAGTCTGGTTGCTGTGGAAGCGTGAAAGGTTCATCCCGGAGTTCAATGCCTTGATCTCGGAGATCAACGACAAGCTGGCCCAGCCAGGGGTGGAAGCCACGGAAGAGGCAGGACTAGCACGGTTGTGGTGCTCCAGCCTAGTGACGATCCCGCACCCTTGCCTGCCCCTGCTGTCTCTTCAGGGTGTGTTGGCCGTCCTGTCCAAGGAGAATGCAGACTGCTTCAGGCCGGTTTGCCAAAACACAAGGCTAATTCATGTCGTGCAATGCTGCCTGTCGTGCACAATTGCCCTTTGACACATGTAAATGGAAAGGAGAGCGCAGAGACTCAAGTGATCAAAAGTTGAAGCAGGTACCTGCCAAGCTTCATTCGTGCACAGCTGCTCTTGGACCGTGACCCTCATGGCAACGTGCAGGCACTGAACACGTGTTCTGCACGCTGTCAGATCGCGGTGCAGTGTTTGCCAACTTCCTGCCGGCCTACATGTTGTGATTGGCCACCCCTCGATTCGAGAGCAGGTCGCCAAGATTGAAACTGAGAAGCTCTTGGCTGCAACGGTGCATGCAGAGCTGGACAACCGACGTGCCAAAGGGTGCGCCGGAGGAAGTTGCATGATACTGCTAATCAGAGCATCCATCTGCAAAGCTTTGACCATTAGACCGCACGCGCTGAAAGGAATGATTTTCGAGGGTTACTAGTGGCAAAGCTCCTATGCAAGGTACAAGGGCAACTTCTCTCCGCAGTTTCATGCCTTTGGATACGAAGGCCGCGCAGGGCTGTGCGGATCCCGGTGGTGAGTGGATGATAGTTGATGACAGTTGCTGGGAGATGTGGGACGGATTGTACATGCGACTGCTCTGAGGCCAACCGTCTTCGACGCTTCGTACTGCTATGCTCGTCTGGCCTGCTTACAGATTCCGTGGAGATGTGTACGCAGATGCTGTAGTCTTCCGGCGTACGGCCGAGAGCTAGTGTCCTTCATTGATACGACTCCGACTCTAAATTGTAAATGTGCTCGTCTTTCACATACTCCGGAAGTATCCAGAAGTCTGCGGTCCACATTTCCAACTCACGTAAGGCGCTGGGCTACACTGCCTCGTCTCTGCTGGACCTGCCCTCAAAGATCCCAGCACACCACTGGCAGCAACGCCTGAACTTACCCGATGGCATCTGTGCTCGTTGAGAGGTCACTGGCTGGACAGGACTCATCGCGAGTGTGAAGAACCTCCTGGCACCCTGCAAGGCCACCTGCAAAGTAAAGAGAGTTGCCTGATGGTTGCAGCCGAATCCACATTGACATGCCCCGGACTCATGACGAATATCTTGGAAGCTTAGGAATGGCAGTGTGGCGGGGTACCTGTCACCTCCCTGTGTGTGATTGAGCGCCGCAAGGGCAAGGCAGGGCTGCAAAAGCAGGGTCTTTTCTGTGTGGACCGCACATCACGTCTCCGGCCAGAGTTCAAGAATCGAATCCACTCAGGAGTCGGGCATGGGGCTCAGCTCAGAATCCGCTCGCCTCAGGACAAGCCGGTCATCCACAAGGCGCTTGTGGAGCTTGAAGGTGCTCTGCAGCATCCCCAGCCCTGTGCCTGTCACTATGCAGTCACGATCTTTTGTAGTAGAGTTAGCAGTTAGCAAGTACGTGCTTGCGGCTCAGGTCGCAGCCCTTCGAATTCTACAAATCCATCCGCGAGCAACTGCGCATTTCGGACATGTGCGCTCGACAGCATCACTGCTAGAAAGAAGTCAACAGACCCCCTGAGCGAGGTTGTCATGAAGCTGCAGCTTGCCCCGTGCGGCAGGTATCGCAACCCAGGCCCAATTCAGTTCGACATGGTCGGGTGCGAGGCCTCCAAGGACATCTTCTCAAGAATTCCTTTTTGGAGCCGGGCGACGAGCAGCAATCAGCAACTGGCTGCTGACTGCAGGACATTCCAATGACTCTGCAGCTCGAGCTCGGCAGGAGAAGCGAGAAGCAAGAAGCACGGGCAATTGCCACCGCGGCTCTTGAGCCTGTGTCCGGCTTCTACGGGGATGAGACTCGGGTATGCGAAGCTTGTGACACCGAACGGTCAGTGCAGCGAGATTTCGCTCCTGGTGAAAAGGACCCTGCCGGTCGAGTTCCCGACTGAGAAGCCCAAGAGGCCTGCAAAAGTAAGTCTGAAAACGCGTGTTGCAAGGATGACATTGTCTGCAGGCTGTAAAGCAAGTTTGCCTGAATAGTACCGTGCCATGCAGTACGACCGCTTCCGGGGCTGTGCGCATCAGCCACAAATGTCACCGTGGCATGAATCCCGAAGACAGGATGGGTAACTTCCTTTTCCTTCCCCATGCGCCACTTGGACGTAACAGTGTCTTTAGATATGCACAGAAGCAAGTGCTATTCACAGAATCGGTCTTGGCAGCAGAGAGTCAAGAGTGACCGTCCAGCCATGTCCCGTCGCAGTGCGTGATCTGTAAACATCGACGACCGAGGAAGAAGCTGCGGTCGGAGCTGCAACAGTGGCGATCAGCCGCGCACAGCAGTTTTGCAGGGTCACGTGTCTTCTTCTGCTTAGCCAGGCGTCGGCCCAGTGCTGTGAGGCCTCATGTTTCAAATCACGATTGGACTGAAAAACAAATTTCTTTGCAACAGTGCGCTTTCACTGCGTGTTCGCCCTCCGTATGTAGAAAGATGTCCAGTTTCCTTTGTACTAACAAAAAAGCTAGTCGAATGCTGATGTATCCTGCCCGGTAGTGCTGTAACCACGATGCAGGAAGTTTCCACTTCATTCAGTTGGCCCTAAGCCCATGCCACAAACTTGGCGATCCCGTACATATCCGGACTGCTACTTCTAGGAGGAGGGAGGCTGGAGCTGCGCCAGTTTAAACAAACACATGGTTCTGGTGCTAAAAGTCGCTGTCCACAGGTGGAGTTCTTCTTTGATAGAGTTGCGCAGGTGGTTCATGCAATCACGATGGGTCCACTCAAGGCCCGGCAACATCGTCTTCCGGAGTCGCTGAGTGCGTTTAACGGCAATGCTGTCACAGCCTGGACCTCAGTCGACAAGCCTGCTTGCGCGCGCGGGCTTCTTTTGAAACATAACTTGGACAAAAAGCACGAGGAACATTAAAGAAGATCATTGATCATAGTAGATCCTGCCAATCCTTGTCAACATGGCACATAGATGTTTGCTGACGACCTACACCCCGTCACTCCTCTGGTGATTAGGTGCTGGCTGTGATTTTCGTGCAGCATGCCCGTGAGCATAGGGCCGCAGCTTGCCGTAGCTAAGGTTCATCGGGGAGAGGCAACAGTTGTCAACGACCACACAGAGGCGTCCGAATGGCAGTGAAGCTCGCAAACTCTGCATTTCCACGCCCAAACTTGGTTGTCTTCCCAGCGGTTCTCGCAGGTGATTTCGCGGTACTTCTCGGAAGTTCATGCACCTCTGCTGGACATTCTGCCCACCGAGGCCTGACGCTTGAGAGCCGAGAGCTGCTGCATGCTGCAGTCCACTGGCATCCAGGATGTAGGATAAATGCCTTCTAGTCCGGAGGAGAGGACTGCCCCGATCGAGAACAAAAGGATCGGTGTCGTTTTCTGCGGCCGGCAGGTTGGGGATTTTGCTGGCACTTTGCATGTCTCACAGCGGCCCTTAGTGCTCAGGCACCGGGCTGTCACGACTTCGTCTGTGGCCTCGTGGACATGCTGTCGGGGGCTCAGCCAGTTCACGTGCGCCGCGGTTCGGTCTTCTTTGTCAGCTTCTGAGGCCTCCGAACTTCGGGAACAAAGTCCTCGGCTTCGTGGGCGGAACGCATGGCTTCTACGAGAAGCAGGCTGGGGACTGGGAGCACACGGGGGCCCAAAGGGAGTCGAAGCCCACACCGACACCGCCAACATCCGCCAACCCTCCCCTAACAGGAGAAAAACCGAAATTTTCGTGTGTTAGATGCACACTCGATGCCATATAACGAGCGCCACCTACAGGTGGAACAGGTTACCGTTTGATTTGCAGGCATGCCTCCCTAGTGTGGTCGTGCTTTTCGTTGTCTATTATAGACTTCGTGTTCTGGACTACGAACCGTCATTCAGCAAAACATACTCAATAGTGGTTCGATGGGCAGCCATAGGTCTTACGTTTTCGCTTATTCAAGCACAGGGAAGATCTCCAAGTAAACCTTCCTGTCATTGCAGCCTTGACTCGCATCCAGAAGTCAGCATGCAACACTCCCGGTCTGTCATCACGACATGTGTACGGCTTATCAGACGTAACTCACTTCGTTTGCGGTCTTCGTGTGCGGCACCCAAACGCTTCAGTTTGCTCTACAATTGTTTTTTGCAACTGGTTCAATTGCACTGCTTGCTGTCATAGGCGAAAGAGAACAGGGTCTTCCAATTCAATGCCGGTCAGCTGACTGTTGTGCCAGACGGTGGAGATCACCCCCGAGCTATGCGACGCTTTCCGCGGCACAGGCTGGGCTCGCGAAACATCCTAGGGATGTGGGATCGCTTTCGCAGTGAAAATGGGTGGTTTGCATCTCCCGTCCTGTCCTGTTTGTGGATTGCTCACAGGTGGCCTGGAAATGCGGCTGGCTAAGTTCGTTGCTGCAGCTGGCAGAGGGCTGGTGGATGTGTTACCATGTGACATGGCTTGAAGGAAAAGATCATGTTCCAATTTGGAGATCACTTCAGGCTTGGGCGCACCGTCGATCGCATTAACACCAAGGCCGGGCGTCGGAGACATTCAGAAAGCTTGACCTCCTGCCAGTGAACGTTTGTGATCATTGTGATCCTTGATAAGTGCAAGGAAGAGTCCGAGAACGCCATGAAAGCGTGTCAGGAGACTTGTGATGTTGAGCATGTCGTGCTTGCGATTGCTGACTGCTTGTGTGGGTGTAGGTACGTACGACGTACGCATTTCTGTGCGTGCATGTACGTACGTGCATGGCAAGGTAAGCATGCAAGCAGGTGGGAAGCAAGGTAGGTACGCATGCAGACATGAAGACATGCTTCATGATGATTCGAAAGAAAGATGTAACGAACGTAGGTATGTAGGTGTGCATTCATGCACTCCATGCTTGTTTGCACAGAAGTGGCAACAGCAGGGCCGGCATGTACGGGAAATGTTGAGTACTGAGTTGTTCCAGACAAACCAGAAATGGCTTCAAGGAGCTGAACCTGGACGGCTTGGTCTTAGTCGGCGGAGCCCGTTTGGGGCCAAGCCTCTAAATGCACGGAGAAGTCACTTGATGTTCATGCAGAAGACGGATTCGGGTTCCGGGGTTCGCACGAGAAAGTCCAGAAAGAAGATTTGGTGAACTGCTCTTGTATTCCGGGGCTTGCTTATCCGGGGCTTGCTTATACAAAGCTTCGCATACGAACAGCAGGTCAAGCAATCTGTCAGCACGACAGGCACGAACACGGATGCTGCTTACCTGTCCGAGTTCTTCAAGACCAACAAGGCCAAAAAGCAATTTCGCCAGACCTTACTTCAATAAAGTGACTGTGTTTGAGATCTTTTCAGTGAAGCGGCAAGGCTTCAAGTCTTTCGGAGTGGATGCATTCCCCCGACGACACACGCACACAGTACACATCCTTGCTGGCCATGATTGCATGTACAGACGGTACATACTATGCCTTTCGCTAAGATGCGCAAGTTTTGAGAGCAGAGTGCTATGCATGGTGATCCTCATGTCAGTGCCAGGTGAAGACAGCCGTGGTCGGAGTTCCTTGTGGCATCGAAGGCAGCATGGTGAACGAATTCGTTGAGGCGCCCGGCTCCTGGCAGAAGTTCGGCAGTGCTGAAACGATGTTCAGCGTGACCATCGTCCTGTGACACTAGTGCCGAAGAACGAGACACGCCCAGAAGTACAGAGGGGGCCGAAAACACCTTGAGCAGCGGCACCGAAATGACTCGGCTCTGTGGATTGGCAACTGAGTGTCCAAGGTCGTTGGGCTTCGACTCTTGTGCCAAAGCCATGGCACAGCTGGTTGCCGTGGCTGCAACGAAATCACGCAGTCGAAAGCAGCTGCCCTGCAGCACGAGCATCCAGATTTTGTCGTGGCAGCTAATCAGGTTGGCAACACAGCCATCGATGGTTTTGAGCTAAGCTGATCGGGTCTGACTGAAGATAGTCTGCATTGTGGTGCTTTGTTTGGGTCTGTCAACTGCCTCCACGGTGAGGCTCCAGTGCGCGAAAGTACTATTATTTCCTCAAGCTTATGGACGGCTCCACGACGGGAGGTGAGAAGAGCTCTGCCACTGTGTACTGACTGAAGCTTCTCTTCATTTGGCTCAGGCAAGGTGCCCTCATCCCATGTGGCACTGGAAGTCGCACTGGAAACGAAGCCGAACCTGCTTCTGCTTACAGAAGAGGCTGATGCTTCGCTGTCGTCTCCCCCCTGCAATTGTCTACGAACGGTCGTCCAGGTTGACGACCACCGGACATCGCTCAGAGAACTAGTTAGCGACATAGCCGATGTCGGGAACCTGGATCTGCAGTGGAGCAAGCTCCAACAGCTGGGAGTTTTTCTTTGGAGTCTTCACCGTCACCAAGGTGGTTTCTGAGCGCGCAAGTGCTGGCAAGAATTTTGGCAGGGGACCCCAAATGGAGCTTCGGAAGAGTCGCTGACACCAGCGCTTCCAGGAACCGTCCTTGTCGCAGAGGGCTTGCTGGCCTTCACCTCAGTGAGCTATCATCGCGCGCGTGCTTCCAGCACAAGCAGAAGTTGGAGAGATGTGCAGCAGGCAGCCATTCCTGAATTCCGCACACTCATCACCGAGCTGGAGGCTGATGGCTGGTTTCGAGGGAAACAACCCGGTTTGAGGACAGCAGCCATGAGGTCAACGTTGATTGGGGTCCGGTTTAGGGTTTAGAAACCCAAGTGTTTGCCTGGACCCTTGGCGCCAAATGTTGAAACATCCTTGTACATCTGGGGACACCTTGCTCTGGTCAGGCCCTGCCAATGCCGAGCACTGTGGAGAAGGCAAGCGCGTGGTTCAGAAATTGTTGCGCTCGCTGGTGTTTGCCATTGCCATCCTGCTCGTGGTTTTGTCGTGCCGGGGCGGTCGGGATTCGATCACATCGTTACACCGCAGGTCTTGCCGAAATTGACCACATGGTCCGGTCCTTGCGAGTGATGATCAACGGGGGGCCTCGTCGCGTTCGGAAGTTACAAGCCTGTCAGCTTCAGTCAAACAAAGGGAAATACATGTCCAGCGCTTTCAAGTGAGGTCCGCTGCCCTCTTCCAGAGCCTTCCAGAGTTTATTCAGAAGCAGCTGTTGTTGGCGAGGTGCTGCTAAACCAGCATTGTCCGCCCCGTCCCTTGCACCGACATGCAGCCGCAGAGAGCCGCAGGCAGAGCAATGCCGCCCTCCAGCTCTCGCAACTTGAGACTGAGCGGCTCATGGCCTGGCTCGTCCCCGCCCCAAAAGCCTTGGCATATGCACAACGTGCTCGACGCTTGAGTCCAAGGTGGAGGTAAACATAGCAAGGAACCCATGAGCGAATCCACCGTCGATGATCGAAGGCAAAGTGACGGCTAGCCAGACCTCCGACGAAACTGCATGGACTGACTGCGGCGGCGCGCAGACCGGATGCAAAGCGCCACCACCATCTGAATCTGCAGCGGCGTAGTGAGCGACAAAAGCACCATGAAGCTTTAGGCAGTTAAGGCTTGCATTTCCAGCAGATTTCAATGCTTACCCTCCTGCCCAATTCTCTGATTGAAGCCGTTCGATGACGGTGACACAAGTCGTTCTGCGCCAAATGCGCCAAGGTCGAGGACGAGTTGAAGAGTCGCAAGAAGCAGGCTCAGTCAATCTGGCCAAATCTGGCGGCATTGGAAAGTGCTTATCCGGTGAGATGGAACTCAGCTGAAGTATGAAGATCGTGCTGTCTGTGCTGATTCGCAGGGTACATTCAAGGGCAGCTTCTCACCAGTGTGCCAGTTCCTCGGTTACCAGGCCAGTACCCGGCAGCTTGCAAGTGGAGTTGACGTGGAACCCTTTCTAACTGTCGCTGTTTTTTGTCTTTAGTTTGGATTCTATTGCGCTTACTTCGATTCTGTGCAGCAATGGAAGGCTCGCTGCTCTGTTCCTTCCGACTTCGACAGCGACTACGCATATGCGCTAGGCGTCTCTTCGCGCATGAATCGGACGCTTATACAGCGTTGAGGATGAGCTGCGTGCTTTCGCAGGTGGCTGTGCAGCCATCTTGACTTCCAGGGGCCACACCGGCTATATGGTGGGCCCCTAGTTACATGTCTTCTCCTTCACATCATGCACCTAAGTCTCCCGAAAGATCTTCAAATCCTCAGAACGTTCTTTCAGGCAGTGGTGTCTGACCTGGCACAGCCAGTTGAGCGCCTGGGCCTCAGAGCAGTGAGTTTGATGAGTTTGTCTTCCCCGACTGATCGTTGCGATTGTGTGGGCTGCCTGGCTGTAGGCAAGTCTGTGTCGCAGATTGCCCTCGTGTGCTGTTGTAGTCGACATCCGTAGTATTGTAGCTAGAGGGCGCATGACATTCTGTGACTCTGACTTGGCTCAGTGTGGCTGGGCCACCCGCTTCAAACATTCTCGGCTTCGCATTGACATCGATGGACCGTGAGTGTAACGTCACCAAAGTCCTGCCCGACAGTCACCTTGTACAGGCTGGCATGTGGGCGGCGTTCCTTTCACGGCAATGCTGCAGGAGCTGAAACTTATTTAGCTGTGTTCACCGTTGCGGCAGCCGTTCATTCGCGGTGCAGTATTCCGTCGAACATGCCAGGTGCCACCCACCATGCCGAAGGAGTCTTTCCGGCCCCGTCCGGGCATCTTCCCACACAAGGCGTGGTGCTGGCTGTGAGAAGGGTCTTGCGTCGAGCTGCACTGGTTGAGACTCTCAGTCCAAGACTACCAGCGCAAGCAAGTGCTGCTGCCTGATGTTGGTTGCGAGTTCAGATTGAGATTGACTCGGGGACAATTGAGGCTTTGCAGTTGGCATACTCCGTGAAACAGATGCATCGCCCCATAGATCTTTCGAGGTCAGAGGGCCTTAGGCCGAAGCGTAGCAGCCTTCAGATGCCTGCCGTGTCCACATCCACCGCTTTCAATCCCGCAGCTTTCATTGGCACAGCTGCCATTTAGGGCACCAGTGCACGCTTCTTGGTACTGCAGAGGATGCTGACACCCAGCTCCCCAGCAAAGAATACCTCATATAGTTAGATGCTGAGAGACTCAACGCAAAAACGAGGAGCGATCAGTGCGACTCATTGCAATTACAAGTACATGTCGGCAGGTGGAGCTGGAGAGCGGGGCATTCAGAAAGTGGAAGGAGGTCGCCTGTCGCATCTTACATTTTGCGACTTCGAATGAGCCTGTGCTACAGGTATCGGAATCCTCGTTCTGGATTCTGGGTTAAGTGTTTGCACAGTGGCAGGTGCACAGGGGTGGTTTGAGGTCGTTGGTTTCGCCGTGATGATACGGCAAGTGCTGCATCAATTACATGGGTTCGGTTTGGGCTGCTGGTATGGTCAACACAGCTCCGTCCAGTCAGGCTCGCAGCAAAGGCCCCGAGAAGAGAATGCGAGTCTTTTCAGGTCCGCGGCTCCTGCGCAAGGGAAGTCGGGGCCTCAGCTTCGCCGACATTGAAGACGAATGGTGGTGAATGTGTGACTTTCTCCCAATGTTCATGGGTTTTGGTTGAACTCTCACGAGGAACTCTACGAGAATCCTGGTCCGATTCAGCTGTCTGGGTTGGTGCCTCAACAGTGGGGGTGCATCAAAGCAGCACATGACACTTAGGCACAGTACCCAAAAGGCACATAAGCATAAGCATTGTATGGGGATATCCCTGCCTTATTGGGCTTCATTATAAGGGGATTTATATGGGATATCCCTATCCTAATGTTTGCTTATGTGCTTTTTTGGGGCCCTCGACACGGGCAGAAGAATCTCTTCACAAAGCGAGGAGACACAAAGATTGTGCTCTGAAGCTTGCTCAGGCCAAGCGCGAGCCGCGTCACTAAGACCATAGCGACCCGCTTTTCTTACTTGCAAGAGCTGAAGGCGTTAGCTCCTCAGACTCAGATCCCTTGCTTTCTTCCGACCCGGCCTTTCCCGGGTCCCGGTGTTTCGAGGTTGCAGAGGCATCTGGACACGCTGAGGGAGCGCTGCCGTCCGGGATGCGACCTCCGGCAGGCGCCGAAGGAAGGAAAGTAGGAAGAAGACGGAGAGGCTGCATCGTCTGCATCCCATCCAGCCTACCCCGTGCGCTGTACACTGTACACTTTTGGCTTGGCAGCGCTGCTAGGTGAAGGTGGCCACCCAATCGCTGGCGACTTTGAACTCCATCCTGGATGAGCTTGCAGTAGCCTCGGTAGCCGGTCAGCTGCTCTGGGGCGCACTGGATGCCCCTGTGATCTGCTGAGGCAGAGCCATCTTCAGCAAGCCCAATGCTTGAGCGGGCAATGAGGTAAGTCTGCTTCACTGGCGGTCGAAATTGTGCCTGTGCGATGCGGAGCAAGCTCAGGAGCAAGTTTTGAAAGCTAAACGTCAGCTTTGCTTCAATTCGTTTTAACCGCGCCGAGAGCTCCTTTGGAGAGCGTCTCAGCATGTTTTGCGAACAGCCATGGCTTTTGTTCCGACAGCAGGTGTGGGACGCAAACTGCGCCCGAAGTTTGAGATGTCAGTCTTGCTTAGTTCCGGAGACTCAGTCTCACATCTGTGAGTTTCAAGAGAGATGAGTCCAATTTTGGGGCTGCCCGTCACAATCTGGGCATGATTCAGAACAGCACAGGCAAGACCGGTGCCGTAGAAACCGTTCCCAGGATGCCTTCGCATGTTGTGTTTTCCCCACTCTTGAGATGTGCGGGCATCGGTGCATTCTTGATTTGTGAAAAAAGAGTTGATGCTGTGGGCAGAGCAGCGTTGAGGTCTTCATGAGGGTAGCGCAGCAGCAGAGGAAGCGTCGTCTTTGTCCTGTTTCGGCGAAGGTAGTCTTGCCATGCCGGGCTTCACTTCGGCCTTTGCGAGTTTTCTTCACAGCCAATCTGTAGGCCACGTCTTTTGTGTTCGGTGACCATGCTTTCGGGAAACCCCCAACACCTAAGTACTAAGTTTTCAGTTGTAAACACTTCCGAATCGAGCGTAGCCAACGACGAACACCCCAAAAGCTTCCACACCAACTGCTAGAACGTATTTGTAGCTTTCACACCTACATGGGGCTGGGCAGAATATAAAGCTTATAAGACGGGGCAAAGTGAAGGAATCCTTCAGCCCGCCAGAGGACTTCGAGCGCGCTTGGCCGCCGCCCGAGGGAGCGGCGAAGCTCCGGGAGCGGCTCCGGCAGCAAAAAACAAAAAAAAAACACAAAGAGAAATCAACGAGGAAACTCGTGTAAAACGAACGGCTTAAGCAGGTTTAAGCTTGTTGTTGCCTAACCGCTTCGCCCTTGATCTGAGCCCAGGCAGCTCGTAGCCATCGAAAGTCGCGTGCGCGAGCTCTTCAAGCCCTGAGCCCGACCTCACTTTGCCTTCGTTCATTGCTGGATCGGTGTCGTGTCTGCACGTCCTGCAGCTCTCGGACACGCAATCGAGGCCTTTGCACCTAACAAAGAAAAAGGATTCCAAGGAGGCACAGGCATTTAATTCTGGAGACTGCAAGGATTGAGTCGCTAAAGAACCGCTTCAGGAGGGGGCTCCTGCCCGTCCTCCGCTGTCGCTCGGCGAAGCTTTGGCTTGGAAAGCTCTCTGCTCTCTGAGTCGTCATGGCGAAGCTCCGAGTCTCTGTGAGGCCTCGCGGAGCTTCTGCTGCAGGGGCCACCCGACGATCGCCGAGGCCCGGGCGAAGGATGCGCAAGGGGACGTAAAACGGCACACCGATCATTAAAACTTTGCGCATTGTATCCGCATGTGAGGCAAGCGGCATCGTCTCCAAGGCGCCTGCTGATGACACGATGGCTCCCGAATAATAAATCCCGGAGACTACAGTGCAACCGCGGCTGATACGGGGTCCCCGGTCCCCGCCTCATAGGGGTTGAGGGTTAGGCCCGCAATGGAATGAATTTCGTGACAAGTCTCGAAACTCTCAGAGATTCTGAAGAAGCCCTGCTATGCCATCTCTGCAGGGGGCGCGTCTTCGGTTCTGGTTTTGTGGGTGGAGAAGATGCTTAAAGTCGAATCATGCAAAGACACCTGCATTCCTAGCTTGAGTGCTTGCCGAATGTTTAAGCCTGATGAGCCAATCTGGCCTGATTATGATTAGACGGGACCGGCTCGGGCTTGGGTTGTGTAGCCCTTAGGAACGAGACGGAGCCCGACGTGGCCGAGTGCTTCCAGGAAGCAATCCAAAGCAAGCTCTGCTGCGCAAAAGCGAAGCCCCCGCAAAAGCAAGGATATCTTTATCAAAGGCCTATTGACGGAAGAGATTTGAAAGGATTCGCAAGGCTACACCCTTTTCCTGCGAATTCCGCAAGCAGAGAAGGAAGCTTTAACCGATTATATGGGCCCGCAACGCAGTCCGATGAATGATTTCGGCAGAGCCTTAAGATAGATTCCCCGAAGATGAACAGGAGTGTAAGGCCAACACTCGGTGCCCGATCCAACTAATGGAACGTGTGTCCGCACCGTTTTGCCGCCCACCAACACTTGCAGAAGGCTGTCCAGCAGCAAGCGCAGCCGCTCTGCGCCAGGGCCACCAAGGCACGGTGACATCAACGAACAGACTTGAGCTCGACAGGCTAACTTGCAATGCAGCATTTGGTCGATGCAGGGTGCCTTAAGGCCGATTGCGTCACCACTACGTATGAGAGTCGAAACCGCTGACCGGTCCAATTGAAGGAGATGGCCTCCCGGTTTGGTGTGACCACCCTCCCTCGACTTGCCAAAGCTGCGATCATTGTCAGGTGTGCATTCGTGCTGCCACCGATCAAAGCTAGTTCACCCCAACGCCGCGAGCTTGAGCCAGCCATCGTGCACGACGAGACTTGCAGCTGCACGAGCGAAGTTGCGAGTACTTGTAGATGATTCCCTCCGACCAAGACCTTTGGATGCAGAGCTGCCTCCCGTAATTTCAAGATCGGTCGACATGTGATTGAGGCGATGCGAAACCGGCTGCTGTTCAGAGGCAAGTCTGAAAGGGGGTGTTGACATGTGTTGACTGTCTCAGTTACTTGTAGTCGTGGCTGCAAGGCGCAGCAAGGCTTCAATAGAATAACGTGCTTGATCAGTGTCGCCGAAACTGCTGAGTCACCGAAGTCTGTACCTGTCAAGTCATCCGTGGACTGGTGTGCTTCGGGAGCCACAGTGTACCCGAAGAGTCTGGCAGGTCACTGTCCGCCAAGCCTGCACGCGCGTGCCTGCCGATGAAGAGTGTGTCTCACCGTCTGGTTACGAGAATGGCGTCGACGCAGACAGCTCCGAAAGCAGAGTGATTTACTACTACAGTGCTATGACATGATTTACTGATCTCTTTCTCCCATCTGCCAGGCAACTCCTGCTCTGAGCAGCTCACGGCTGCGCGGAGCGTCAGAATTTTCGTTCCTATGTTCCAATATCTTCGAGATCACCACCAGCGTGGTACGGCTGTGACAAGCCAGAAGCAAGTCAGAAGCAGAATGACAGTCAAGTAACTTGGTACGGCCAACGGGTACTGCAACACTGGGAAAACTGCTAGCAACGCAGGCCAGTTGCAAGCCCGACTTGGTCCAACTTGTGCATGCGAGCGTGCTTATCGGACGCGCACTGCTGTTTCACTGTTCAGGACTGCTGCGAAGCAGCTCTTTGCACCGCACTGTTGTCTAGGAACTTTACTGACATGTTTCCTGGCCCAGTTGCGCTTTCAGGTAGATAATGGAGCATGCAGGTTTGCCAAGCAGGCAAAGGGAGCTCTTCTAGCTGCAAGGACAAAAATGCATCCGGTCATGTTCAGTTGTCCGTAGCCAACGTCAGTCAGCGCGGTTGTGGTCTGCATCGTGTGCTCAAGGACCAAGCTTTAATCGTAGCTCATATCATCATACCATGTCTACAATAGAATGCCGGAAGCTGTGTTGCTCTCAACATCCCGCCCTGTTCCAGAAGGCCATGTGAAACATGCTTTCGTGTCCCCTCTACCAGATCATAAAGTTCATAAACGATGCTCAGCGAAGTAGTGCGCGGCAAACTAGTACCCAACCAGCCATGGCAGATTTGCCCATACCATGCCAAACTCCTGTTCCTGCGGAAATTGCACCTCGCTGTTGACGCTATCAAAATGGGAAAATCTGACTCGGACTACTCCGATGAGGCCGACGTGCTGCCTGCGCACGAACGTCTCTTCAGCCTTAAGATCGGCGCCCGAAGAAGGAGCAGTAACATGTTTGTTCAATGCAGGACAGTGACTCCGGCAGCTCCGTCAAGGAGGTAAAGAAAAAGAAGAAGGACACGAGCTTTCATTGGATTTGGAGACCCGCGGGAAATTCATCTGGAAAGTGCCTCTGTCATGCAGGATAAAAAGAAGAAGAAGAAAGAAAAGAAGGCTTCTTCGGCAAATCCACACATGTAGGTTGACGTTGATGTTGATGGGTTGAGACGAACATATTGCTGCCTGCGCCAGTGAACTCACATGCCTGGCAGCAGCTGTTCAGGAAAAGAAGAAGGCCGACGAGAAGCAGTTTCAGGTTGCTTCGCAGATTGACTGTTCGTCGAGTCAGGCGAAGAAAGAGAAAAAAGCAAAGAAAAACAAAAAGGCACTCTGGGAGCATGCTTTGCCAGGACATTTGCGAAGCGCTCTTGCACGGTTCGGCAGGAAAAAAAAAGGAAGCGCAGCCGAAGCAGCTACAGCGACTACAGTCCACCGCCCTGATCTTTGATACAGGCGGCTTGTGGCTTGTGCATCACCGCCCCTTGCACAGGTTGCAGCAAGGACAGCCGAGATGACTCTCGCAGTCGTAGTCCCTGCTCGTGCCCGAGAATGGCTGATCCTACAAATTGCACATGCTGCTCTTCCACCGTGCATAGAGAGCCTTTGCCCCGGTTTTGAGGCCGCAACCGAGGCCGATCGCCGCCCAGACGGTCCCCACCCAGACGGTCCCCGCCTAGGCCACATGATGTTGTTCAGGGATGGTGGGAGCTTTACGCAGACATGGTGTCTCTCTCACGACTGCTTGGGGCTCTTGTGCAGGTATAATGCCTCAGGAGGTGGTGGTGGGTACGGAAACTATGGTGGAGGCCGCGGCGGCTACGGCGCGCCCTGCTGGCTCGACTTGATAAGCACATGCTCACGGTATGCGATTTCACAACATTCCAGAGCTCAACTCATCACATAATTACTCGACAGGCCTGCCCGCAGTCGCAGCAGGAGCCAGCTGCCCTGCTCCAAACGTCAAAGCGACGACATCTTGGTTGAGCAGCGACGTCGCCTTGTCAGGAGCCCCGCGTGGGCTGTGCCAGCAAGACACCCGGGGGGCCCGAGGGTCGGAGCAGACCTGAAAGAATGAAAGGGTCGCGGGTCGCCGGCGCGTCAGCGGCCTCCTGGAGCCTCGAGTCTCTCCGAGCCCAGGCTCCCCGATCACCAATGAAGCTTCCAGAAGGCGCGCGCACACGCGAATACGTGCCTCAAAGAGAGCCCGTCGTCCTTTATCGGCTTCTTTCTTGACTCCGAAGTTGGGTCCACGAGGCCGGCCCCTGACCCTGGCAGAGGCCTGTGAGGCCAGGCTGGGTACTCGTAGGTTCTCGCAGCGAAGGCTCCTCCTGTTCTGTGCAAGGCCGCGGGCCGTGGAGTGACGACCGGCAAGACGGCACAAGATGACGAAGTGCAAGTTCTGGATCCAGACGAGGCACAGCATGGCAGCCCAGGCTGCTGACACCGTCCCAGAATTGCACAGGCACCCGTCAAAGCCGAGAAGCCACTGGCCAAGTTTCGCTGCAATGCACGGCAATCCGCCCGTTGAATGATACGGGGACGGCAAGTTCAGGGTGTGGCGATGCGGCTCGCTAGGATTGCTAAAGAACCCACGACTGAACCGCGTTCGCACTGAGCAGCTGTTGTTGCCTTCTTGATCGCAACTGTGTAGCGGCAGGCCGGGTTGCTGTGTAAATGGCAAACAACCCTCTCGGAACGGCTGGCTCGGAGAGCGCATGTGCGATGCATCCGCATGAGGTTTACATCCTTCGACGATGCAGACGAGTTCCCACGGGAAATCCGAGAAGAACTCAAGCATCTTTGGTATGTTTTATCCATGAGAGGAGGACCGTGGGCCTCCGAAGTTCCCCGCTACGGCAGGAGTGCTGGCTTTCCGGCACCGTCTCAGATCCAGGCAGGGTTGAATGTTCAGTAAGTTTATCGTAGGGCGCTGAAACCTCAGCACTGCATTTCCAATTGGCCGATAGAAGAGTACACCTGAGAGATCCTGAGAGTTTCCTTTCTTGATTTCTGAGCTGTGAGGCCTACACCTGGCCGCTGGGTTTGCGAGGCAAGGACATTATTGGCCAGTTGCCCAGAAGTTTGTGACAAATGGTTGGGTGCAGAGTGTCTGAGTACGTCTGATTCTTCACGTCTCGAGGTATCGCAGCGACCGGTAGTGGAAAGACCTTGGCCGCGTGCTTGGCATGGGCAATTGCCATGGCTTTCAGAAGTTGCGAGTGCACAAGGCAGCAGAGCCTCAGAAAGCAAATCGCGCCCAGGCATTTCTGCTTCCAGCTTTCGCCCAGATGGTTGAGGAGGCAGTCTCGCAGACATGGACCTCATAAAAGCATGTTCTTTCTGTGCCAATCGTGACCCGGGAAAGTCTTGGACAACCGCAGAAAGCTTGTTCTTCCTCGTTGGACTTCGCTTCGTGCCAGAATCACCGTCCCGAGCGAGACGGTCCCGGAGCGCTGGTGATGTCTCCCACGTCCGGTCCCGGGGATCCCCGCAGAGACACAGAGACGCCTCAAAAGCACGGCACAATGCCGCTGTAACCAAGGCGGGAGCTGGCGCAGCAGACCGAAGCCGAGGCGTCTCATAGTCTGAGCTCTTCCTTCAGAAG